TCCGTTTTAGATGAGGCTTTCGCCGTCAAACCTCCTGCCTATGGCAGGATTCTCAAGTAAGTCTTCGATGAATTCTCTTTGTCGTCAATTGATCATAGCAGATTGGATAAGACGGTTCGCGACTGGAATTTAGGGAACCTCCCTCCTTTCGATCAGCTGCCGACAACGGAAGATGCTGAGGTGGATCCAAGAGCCCTCATCCAATCTCTATCAACCACCGCTCTACGAGAGATTGGTAAGTCACTCTCATAGAGATGGCTCACTATTAAAAATTGCAGCTTTGATGTATCTTCATCGTCGATACTTTGTCGAGGCCCTGACCAAGCGATCCAACGAGCCGCTGCGTAGCAAGTACGCAATGAGTGTATTAGCAGTTCATCGTAGCGCGACTACACTACTTCAAGGCATCTTGCGTTCGGTCTGTGCGGCGGAACGAATCTTTGCAACCATGTCCTTTATGTGGGTTCATGCCTTGTAGGTTTCATGACTACGTGGGTTAGATACTTAGACTAATATAAAATAGGTCTGCCTATGTGCGTTATCCTCTTGGGTCAGCACACTGTACTGATAGACTCTAGCTGTGCCTCAGCGCGATAGTGATCAAAAGTCCAGGGTGTTCCCTAGCACACTCGAGTCTAATTGAGATTGATCGTGTCAAAGACTCTCTTGCTGCGGTTAAAATCTATCGTGTAATTCATGCCAAGGCTAGTGTACAGTGCGATCATTGTGGCGAAAACGACTGACGCGTCTCCTTTTGCAGCCTATAGTTATCAAGCTTTATGAACAGGGTCATATTGCTATGGAAAGTTATAAAGCAGGAAAATGGTCACCAAACACAGCTGTTGACGAGGATGATACGGATATCATGAAGTTTATCGGTCGCTCTGATTTTACACCGGCCAAACCACAGGAGGCCACTGCTAGGATCATTGGAGGTGGTAACGTAGACGAATCCATCGGAAATGACGCACATCCGGTTTTGTTCGAGTACATGAAGCATTTCGAGAGTCAGACAAAGACAGGAGCTGTTGCTCCCTCAGCTACTTCTCACTTCATTGCCGAGCAGATCACGCCTCCACATGGCATAGCAGGATCCACAAATAATATTGGAGCATTCGATTCCCACGTCCCTGATCGATTACATGTCAACGATATACACAGTCCTGGCCTCCGTCCCGGCTCCTATAGTACAACCCAGGCGTCCAATTCTACTCCATGGCCCTCGAATAGTTTGTACGATGATTCTCATCTCAACTTGGATTCTCTTTTAGGACAAACCCAGAACCTTTCGTCACAACAACCCTTCCCTTTCCATGATCTGCTATCAGACCATGGATCAGGGTTTTACCAGACCAACGAGCAGCAATTACAAGATCAAGTATGGGAGCAGTTCCTATCTACCCTCATGCCGGGAGAAATGTCTGTAGATTCCGATCGGAGATGATAAATGTGAGCACCAGTGTCTATACAGCGCCCTGACTCTAAACGAGATCAAACAGTATCCCTCTCGTACAGAATTTCATCCGCTGGGATTACCGTAGTCTCGACACAGTTGGTCCTCTTTTGCTTGTTCTCACTTGGGGGAATTGTCCTCGACAACCTCGACACCGTTGAAACATCGTATCTATCTTTTAACTCTCTATCTTAAATTATTCGCGTAGAGTTCTCATCATATTTAATTTCCTTACTCATGCGAGGCATAGCTTTTCGATGACCGGACCGTGACCTATTTATCGGACTGTCTTTATTAATATGTTTCGTGCAATCTTAGACCCTTGCCATATCACCATTCTAAACGGTTTTCTGCCATAAACTCAAACTAGCTGGATATTATCTTCTATTTAATGGTAGCAATATTCGAGTGATCTCGCAGAGCCTGATTGGGTGAGAAGAAGACGGAATAACAAACAAGCCTGCGCCCTACTGCTCTCTTTGACCTCAACTATCATCAATAATACGATGCCTGCAACACAAACTACCCAAAGTCATGTTTGTGCTGAATGTAAGCGGTTAAAGTAAGTCTCGTAATTGTTTCGAACATGTAATTGACGGTGTCAAGATTAAAATGCGACAGAAATGTACCATGTAGCTCCTGCGTTCGAAGGGGGTGTCCCTCCATCTGCCCAGACGGGCGATTGGTAACTGGGAAAGGCACAAGGTTCGTTACAATTCCATGTCACTATGAGGGCTTGCGAGACAAACTATTTCTAGGTTTGTACTCAGCAATACTCGGGAGTTGCATGAAAAGATCGAGTCTCTGCAAGTCCGAATCAAGGAGTTGGAGACTGCACTAGCACAATTACAGTCTACATTCACCACCGAACCTCATCCTCTTCTCGTAAAGCCTCACACAACGACCACCGAACATTCACAATCAAATGAGAGAATATCAAAAGATAACGAACCCGAAGATGAAGACTTGGTTGACACTTTTGGATCCTTAACGATTGGTACTGAAGGAGAAACAGTCTGGTATGCCGGATGTAGCTCTCTATGACGGAAATTAACCCCGTGGGTCGTAGGTATGGTTCCCATGCCGGATCTGAATTTCTAATCCCAGTGAATCGTCTCTCAGCTTTCAAACACCCCTGATACTGACATTTTCTCAGAGAAAGGAGGCAGAGACGAATAACAAAGCCGATCTGGGCCTTCCAATCGATATAATTCTCTTGAGCAGATTATTTCCTTTCAAGAATGTACATGAAGCAGAGGATGTTGTCCGCAACTTGGTTAGAAGTCACTTACCTTCACGGAATGTTGCATACGAGGCAACTTACAGCGTATATCGTAGACTATCCTGGGCGTAGGTGGCATTCAGTTCTAGTCGTTCCCTTCGTTAAACAGATTTTCTGAAGGACATCTCCAGTTGTATGGGAAGAGTTTTGTCGAACGATATTCGACCCAATATATTCACCAGGAAATGTGGCAAATGACCAACAGGTTGCCGTATTCTTCATTAGTATGGCCATTTATGTCCTTGGAGATCCAAAGCATCCCATGTATCATCCTGATGCCCGTCGTTATTATCATTTATCACGAGTATCCATGTCGTTGGGCGAGGTGAGTATCATCATTGATCGATACGCTTGTGCAAACTTAATTTCTTCCAGGATATACTACAGTCTCATACCGTATATGCCGTACAGTACCTGGTGAACCAATGGTCTCTTCATTTCATCTCTAAGTCTGATATGTTTCAAAGGAACTATTTTCTACCTTTAACATCATGATTGACGATCCTGATGGTCCGAACAGAGCTTGGGGGGCCTTAGGTCTAGCAATTAGACTTGCTCAAATGGTTTGTTCTCAAAGGCATACTGTGACCGTACTTACTTCATATCACTTTAGGCCGGTCTACGTACGAGTCCATAGATTGTCGGGTTGCAACTTCTGATTTAATTTCCATAGATCGGGACAACGAGCAATGGAACAAATACCCAGAGCAAGCTGAACGTCGTAGACGTATTTGGTGGGATCTTGTTTTATACGAGACTATATATGGGTTCGCTATGGGACGTCCGAGGGCAATATATCCTGCGTCAGTCACTTTTCTCTCTCTTAATTTCAGCACTGACAATTCTAGTTCAGACATTACAATACAAAAATGCCAAAGGATAGCGAGGATGAAGGCAAGACACCATCATGTTAGTGACTATAAGCTGCACGCCACCAAGTGAATATGCTGATAATGTATAGTCACTCGGGTTGAATACAGATGGATTGCGGGCTGTTTGGGAAGCGTTTTGGACGAGGCATTTGCGGTCAAGCCTCCCCCTTATTCTTCAATTCTCAAGTAGGTCATCCACCGATCTTTTTTGTCGTCATCTAATTACCAAAGATTGGACAAAACCCTCCGTGACTGGAATTTCTCCAGTGTTCCTTCCCTTGGTCACCTAATGAAAGGAGATGACTCGGAAATAGGGCCAGAGGTTCTCTTACGGTCACTCTCGACTACTGGCCTGCGGGAGATAGGTAAGTAGCATCACCTTTACCTTGTATATCATTACTGAACCTCTATAGCTTTGATGTATCTTCATCGTCGATATTTCGTCGAGGCTTTAGCTAAGCAACCTTACGAGCCTTTAAGTAGCAAGTATGCTATAAGTGTATTAGCAGTTCACTATAGTTCCACTCTGTTGCTCCACGGGATCTCGCGTTCTAGCCATATAGTTGAACAGGTTTTTGCAAGGATGTCATTTATGTGGGTCCATGCATTGTAAGTCCCAGAAAAAGGCTCTTCTGGCATTTTAACTAAGGTGACTAGGTCAGCCTATGTGTGTCGTCTTTATGGGATCAGTATTCTATGCTCATCAAATGTTAGGTATGCCTCAGTGCTATCGTCATCAAGAGTCCCGGCTGTTCTTTGGCGCCTTCAAGTCTAACCGAGATTGACCGTATCAAAGACACACTCACTGGGGTAAAGACATACCGTGTACTACATGCACAGGTGAGATTTGATGATCCAGAGCGACAAAGACTGACTCTATTTAAAGCCGACAATCGTTAAACTACATGAACAAGCTCATCTCGCGATGAACAAGTACAATGAGGGAAAATGGTCACGAAATGCTTCCGTTGATGGACCTGACGCAGATGTGATGAAGTTTATCGGTCGAACTGACTTTGCTCCAGCCAAACAGCAGGATGTGACAGTCAAAATTGCTACCGAAAATCCCTTTGAGAATGAGGCACACTCGATGTTGTTTGAATACATGAAGCAATTCGAGACTCAACCGGAGAAGCCCACTGGAACTCCCACATCTACTCCACATTTCATTCCTGGAAATAGCATCTTTTCATATGACATGCCAGGCTTGGGAAATAGCATTGGATCATTCGACTCTCATACCGCTAATCGGCCCCTTAGGCAGATTGACATTGTCAATGATCTTGTCCCCAGCTCTGAATCAGCCACTACTACAAGTCAAATGTCTCACTCGACAAGATGGCCTTCAAGTCACCAACACAACTCTCCTCACACGCCAACCCCTATTCAAGGCGACTCTTCGAACATTCCTTCCCAGGACTTCTTGTTCCAGGATCTACTTCTCGATCAAGGAACAGGACTCGGTCAAGCCAATCAACAACCATCGCAGGATCAAATATGGGAGCAATTTTTATCGAGCCTCATGTCTTGAGAAATGCCACTGAAGTGCAGTGGTCGATGTGAATAGCAATGACTATACCACGCCCTACCCTCGATTCTAAAGCTACGACGAATTGGGAAACCTTTACGTCCCTCGACATACGCTGATGTCTCTAGCTTCCTCTTCTCACATCCGTGCAACATTCTCAGCTCTGATCTGTCGAGACGTCTTGCCTGCCACTTGTATGGTCTTCTTCTAATGTATATAACTGTTCATAATCTTGTTTATCACTCGTAGAAGGCGTAGTGAGACCCTCATATTCGATCACCGGACCTGAAGGAGTAACGTTATCCAACTCGTAAAGGTGGCCTCCCTCAATCTTAGACTCTCCTTCTTATGCCCTTTTTCTGGGCATTTATACCCATAAATCAAACCTAATTGGCACTCGAATAAGTATTCTTTCGATGGCGGGAAAGGATTAGTCATCATGCCGATTCCTGTCCATTAATCGAGAAGACGTACAGTACAAAAGCTGGCGCCAGTGCCTCGTATGTATTTTTAACCTCGACTACTATCATAACATTATGCCTGCAGCACAAACCAGCTTAAATCGTGCATGTGCTGAATGCAAGCGGCTAAAGTGAATCTACAACCATATTTCTTACGTGCTACTGACAAGATCAAGGTTGAAATGCGATAGGAATCTACCTTGCGGCTCTTGCATTCGAAGAGGGTGTCCTTCCATCTGTCCAGAAGGAAAGCTAGTTGGTGGTAAAGGCTCAAGGTTCGTAATTTTCCTTCTATTGTTCCTATGAGGGACCTGCGGAATTGACTCCTATTATAGGTTCATTCTCAGCAATACTCGGGATTTACACGAAAAGATCGAGGCTCTACAAAATAGGATCAAGGAGTTGGAGGCTGCTCTAGCACAACTGCAGTCTAAAGTCACTTCTGAGCCTCACCCTCTCCTTACACAGTCTTTGAAAGCAGCAACTGAAAGTCTCCGGTCGGATGACGAAACTACGAAGTATACAGAATCTGATGACGAAGACCTAGTCGATACTTTCGGGTCTTTAACAATCGATCCAGAAGGGAAATCAGTCTGGTATGCTAAGTGCATCTGTTATGACAAAATTTGATCCATGATGATAGGTATGGCCCTCATGCCGTATCTGAATTTCTTATACCTGTGAGTTCAGCCTCGTTCTTGCACTCTGCTGATCGTAGATTCAGAGAAATGAGGACGACCCAACGAGCAATACCAACACCGACCCAGAACTTCCGGTTGATATACTCCTTTTGAGTAAATTATCCCCTCTCAAGAGTGTGCATGAAGCCGAGGACGTTACTCGCGCCTTGATCAGAAGCTATCTACCCCCACGGGATGTCGCGTACGAGTCCGCATCTAGAGTCTTTACTAAATTATTATGGACGTAAGTGCCATCTGTCCGGTTACTCTATTGTCCAATGACTCCCCATGAAGCACCTCATCAGCTGTATGGAATGAATTTCGTCAAATGATCTTCGAGCCGGTCTATACACCAGAACTCAAGGCGAGTGATCAACAAATAGCTCTGTTCTTCATGAGTATGGCTCTTTGTATGCTTTCCGACCCATCTCAACTCGTATATCATCCTAATGGCCGCCGGTACTATCATTTATCACGAGCCTCTATTTCCTTAAGCGAGGTAAGCATCCTACGGTCTTGGAATCCATTCATGCGCTCATCTTCTT